GCAGCTTTAGGGGGGATTTTCTGGGTGGATTTTCACCATTTTTGGGGTATTTTGAGTAGAATTTTCACCATTTTTGCCATTTCCCGTATTTTTATTCATTTTAATTTCTTCCGGTCACGCCCATGGGCGGAGCCTGCGCCGAAGCTCCGCCCCCAGCAGCTGCCGCTCCCTCCTGGCCCCGCCCAGCGCTTGGCGGTTTTCGGCCGCTCTCCGCGCCAGGTACGGGATCGTCACCTCGGGGGGGCCCAGGGGCACCGATTTGTACACGGGAAATCCATTCTGGGCTGGAAAAATGGGGTGAATTCCAAGGATTTTGGGAAAATTGGGAATTTTTTAAAATTTTGGAAAATTTTAGGAAATTTTGAGGTGAATTTGGGGTGAATTTGGGGTGATTTTGAGGGAATTTGGGGTCATTTTGGGATCATTTTGGGTACACGGGGAACTCACTCTGGGCTGAAAAATGGGGTCAAATCCCAGGATTTTGGGAAAATTGGGAAAAATTTAAAATTTGGGGAATTTTGGGAAAATTTGAAGCATTTTTGGGGTCATTTTGAGGGATTTTGGGGTCACCTCGGGGGGGGCCCAGGGGCACCGATTTGTACACGGGGAATCCATTCTGGGCTAAAAAATGGGGTGAATTCCCAGGATTTTGGGAAAATTGGGAAATTTTGGGTCATTTTGGGGTTTTTTTGAATGATTTTGGGCGGATTTTGAGGCGATTTTGGGGTCATTTTGGGATCATTTTGGGTACACTGGGAACCCATTCTGGGCTAAAAAATGGGGTTAATTCCCGGGATTTTGGGAAAATTGGGAAATTTTGAGAATTTTGGAAAATTTTGGGTCATTTTGAGGGGTTTTGGGGTGAATTTGGGGAGGATTTTGATGGGATTTGGGGGCACCGATTTGTACACGGGGAATCCGTTCTGGGCTGGAAAAATGGGGTGAAATCCCGGGATTTTGGGAAATTTGGGAATTTTGGAGAAATTTTTGGAAAATTTGAGGGGTTTTTGGGGTCATTTTGAGGGATTTGGGTTCACCTCGGGGGAGCCCAGGGGCACCGATTTGTACACGGGAAATCCATTCTGGGCTGGAAAATGGGGTGAAATCCCGGGATTTTGGGAAAATTGGGAATTTTTAAAAATTTTGAGGGATTTTGGGTCATTTTGAGGGATTTTGGGGTGAATTTGGGGAGGACTTGGGGAGGATTTTGGGGTCATTTTGGGATAATTTTGGGATAATTTTGGGCTGATTTTCGGGATAATTTCGGGTGAATTTTGGGGAAATTTTGGGATAATTTTGGGCTGATTTTCGGGATAATTTTGGGGGAATTTTGAGGAAATTTTGGAGGTGATTTTGGGAAAATTTTGGGATAATTTTGGGGGTAATTTGGGAATAATTTGGGGGAAGTTTCGCGTTAATTTTGGGGTAATTTTGGGATAATTTTGGTATTATTTTAGTATAATTTTGACCTGATTTTGGGGTAATTTGGGGATAATTTTGGAGTGATTTTGGGATAATTTTGGGATGATTTTGGGAAAATTTTGGGATAATTTGGGGATAATTTTGGGTGAATTTTGGGTGGATTTTGGGGTAATTTTGGGATAATTTTGGGATGAATTTGGGGTAATTTTGGGGTGATTTGGGGGCAATTTTGGCATGAATTTTGAGGTAATTTCAGGATAATTTTGGGATAATTTTGTGGTAATTTTGGTATTATTTTAGTATAATTTGGGGGTAATTTGGGGATAATTTTAGGATAAATTTTAGGATAATTCTGGGATAATTTTGGGGATAATTTTGGGATAATTTTGAGATAATTTTGGGGTGAAATTGGGGATAATTTTGGGGATAATTTTGGGGTAATTTCGTGATAATTTGGGGATAATTTTGGGGGTGAATTTTGGGATAATTTTGGGGATAATTTCGTGATAATTTTGGTATAATTTTGGGGTATTTTGGGGTGTTTTTGGGGGTCTCTCTCTCACCCAGGGCCAGGCTGAGGTGGTCGCCCATCCCCAGGAGCTGCGCGAAGCAAACGGAGCCGCCCGAGGGCCGCAGGGACAGCTGGGAAATCCTGGGGAATAAAACACCCAAAATTAACCAAAATCACACAAAATTAACCCAAAAACCAACGAAAAATAACCCCTAAACTAATAAAAAAACCCTCCAAAAATAACCCCCAAAAATCACCCAAAATCACCCAAAAATCATCCAAAAATAATCCAAAAATCACCCAAAATGACCCAAATTTCCTCGAATTTTCCCAAAATCACCCAGAATGACCCAAAATGACCTAAAGGACCCAAATTGAACTCAAATAAACCAAAATTACACCAAAAATAACTCAAAATAACCCCAAAATATCCCAAAAAATCACCCAAAAATCACTCAAAAATCACCAAAATTACCCAAATTTCCTCAATTTTTTGAATTTTCCCAAAATCCCGGTTTTTTTCCCCAAACTGACTTTGTGACGGTGCTGAGCACCGAGGCCTCGTTGTGCGTGGCCACCAAAACAACCCAAAATCACCCAAAATGACCCAAAAATCACCCCAAAATCACCCAAAATGACCCAAAATAACCCAAATTTTCCCAAAATCACCCAAATTTCCCCAAATTCTTCAAATGGAACCCAAAAATCACCCAAAGTGAACTCAAAAGAACAAAAATTACCCCAAAAATAACTCAAAATAACCCTAAAATTCGCCCAAAAATCACCCAAAAATCACTCAAAAATAACCCCAAAATGACCCAAATTTCCTCAAAATTATCCAAAGTGACCCAAAATAAAAACCAAAATGACCCAAAGTGAACTCGAAAAACCCAAAATTACCCGAAAAATAACTCAGAATAACCCTAAAATTTGCCCCAAAATCACCCAAAAAAAAGCCCAAAATGACCCAAATTTTTTTTTAATTTTCCCAAATTTTCCCAAAATCTCTGGAATTTGCCCCAAACTGACTTTGTGACGGCGCTGAGCACCGAGGCCTCGTTGTGCGTGGCCACCATGAGGGCGACGGCCGAGCCCGCCCGGGCCACGGAGGAGAGAACCAGGGACAGGCAGCGCTCGTAGCTGGGGACATGAAAATGGAGAAAATTCACCCAAAATCAACACAAAAATACCCCAAAATTATCCCAAAATGGATCAGAAATTGTAAAAAAAAATACGGCCAAAATTGACCCAAAATCAGCCCAAAAATGGCACCAAATCGACCCAAAAATGGCACAAAAATACCCCAAAATCAACCCAAAATTACCCCAAAATCCACCCGAAATTGATCAGAAATTATAAAAAAAATACTGCAAAAAATCAACCCAAAAAAAGGCAAAAAATCAGCCCCAAAATAGCACAAAATCAGAGAAAATTCACCCAAAATTCACCCAAATACACCCCAAAATCAACCCAAAGTTGATCAGATTTTTTTTAAAAAATCCTGCCAAAATCGACCCCAAAATGGCAGAAAATCCACCCAAAATCCACCCAAAATCAGAAAAAAAACCAAAAAAACCAAATTACACCGGAATGGATCAGAAATTATAAAAATTTATGGCCAAAATTGACCCAAAAATGGGACAAAATTGACCCAAAATTGGACAAAATCGACCCAAAATTGGACAAAATTGACTCAAAATTACCCCCAAAATCAACTGAAAAATGGGACAAAATTGACCCAAAATTGGACAAAATCGCCCCAAAATCTGCCCGAAAAAGCCAAGCCCCGCCCCCTTCACCTGTGGGAGGTCTGCTCAGGTGTGTCCCAGGTGGGGGCGGGGCTCTGCAGGCGTTGGCTCCGCCCCCTCTCCTGGTCCAGGTACGCCCCACGCACCAACTTCACCCCGAGAGGCAGCGACGAGGCCGCGGCCGCCGACAGGTGAGAGGAGAGATGGGACACCGTGTCCTGAGACAGGTGACACAGGTGACACAGGTGAGACAGGTGACACAGGTGACACAGGTGACACAGTGACACAGTGACACAGGTGACACAGGTGAGAGGAGAGGTGGGACACGGTGTCCTGGGGGGACAGGGGGGACAGGTGACACAGGTGACACAGGTGAGAGGAGAGGAGGGACACGGTGTCCTGAGGGGACAGGGGGGACAGGTGACACAGGTGACACAGGTGAGAGGACAGGTGAGAC